GCCAGGACCAAGAAAGTTCTGGAAAAAAAAGGCAAATGGAAGCGGGGCACGGTGGCACACGCCTGTGATCCCAGCTACTGGGGAGGCTGAGGTGGGAGGATGAAAGGTTCAAGGCCAGCCTGGGCAACTTAATGAGAATTTCCTGGCCTCCCCACCATAAAGAGAACCAGAAAGGGCTTGGGGGAAACAGGGCTAGAATGCTTGCCTGTCATGCAGAAGCCCTAGGTCCAGTCAGGCAGTGAAAAAAAAAGAAAAAAATTGTTCTGCAGATCCTCTTGGCTCAGCCTCCCATAGTGCTGGGATTGCAGGTGCCAGCCAGGACGCCTGCCCTGCATCAGACCCTGTAACCCATTCATCTGGGCTCTGTCACATCTCAGGCAGTGACACCCATCTGTCTCTGTCCCACGCAGGGGAGAGAGTGTCCAGGCAGGTGGTTCCTGGGGTTCCCTGGCATGAGGCCCACCCACACTGGTGGAGGCATCTGTGACTCCGGAGTGCTGTGTCACCCGGGCCCCTGCTGCCCCCTCCTTTGGGCTCAGCGTGGCATGAGGCAGACGTGATGGCAGGAAGCCAGCAGGCTCCTCTGCTGGTCAGGAGCTGAGCCGCCTTGGCCTCTGCTTGGTTGCAGAGCCGGCGGTGCCTCCCTCCTTCCCTCCCTGGCTGGCGGTGCAAATCGCTTTTCCTTTTTGGGTGTTGGAGCTCCTCAGGCAGAGCACGGGCTGCAGGCTGAGGGTTCCGCCAGGCCGGAAGGGCTGGGAGGGTGGAGGAGGAGTCGGCTGTCTGGGGTCACCGGGCTGAAGGGCTGGGATGCGCTTTGGCTTTGTCCCCTTCCCTCTCTGGAGCCCGGGTCCCTGGATGACATTTATTTGTTTGTTTGTTTGTTTGTTTTTGAGGCTGGATCTCACTATGTAGCCCAGACTGGCCTGGAACTCACAGTGATCCTCCTGCCTCAGCCTCCAGAATAACTAGGATCACAGACATGCGCCACTGCGCCCCACTGTCTACCTATTGACTGTCTTTCTCCCCTACTGGACTGTAAAACCCTGAGGGAAGGACTTGGTTTAATTTTCCACCAGGACCCCACATGGAGGGCACACACCCATGTGCGCTGGGCTGGGTGCCTCTGATGTAGCCCTGGAGATAGCCATTCAATCCTCCAGACCCTGTGCCTTGCATATTCCCGGGAGCTTAAAAATAGCACCCTAGCGCTGGAGATTTAGCTCAGTGGTTTTGCTGCCTGCTGCGCATGCGCAAGGACCTGAGTTTGATCCTCCGTACCAAAAAAATATATATATATCACCCTAATTGGGCGCGGTGATGCTCCGCTGTGATCCCAGCACTCAGGAGGCAGAGGCAGGTCACAAGTTGCAGGTAACTCTGGGAAATTTAGCTAGACTCAGTCTCAAACAAAACAAGGGCTCATGGTACAGTGCCCCTTAGCTAAACTCCTGGTGTCACCAAGGAAAACAGTGAAATTATTTCTATTTAAACGGCCAGGTGTGGTACCAGTAGGTACTTCGTGAAGTTTGTTGAGTGACTACACAAAGTGGGTAAGGTTTCCGCAGTGAAAGACAGCACAGTGTTCAGATTCCTGGACTTGGCACTGCGGGGGACTGCATGGCTGGCTCGGGGCCTTGGTACCCCTGCTCTCAAGTTCGTTCTTCCATCCACCCTTAATGGTGCTTTCTTAGACCCCAGACTCCAACGCTGATGTGGCCCCACCTGCAGGAAAAGGGACCCAGCCTCTTTCTTTCTTTCTTTGCTTTTCTTTTTGGTATTGGGATCCAAGTCAGGACCTTGCCCTTGCAAGGCAGGCAGTGTCACTACTGAGCTAAATCCCGGCCCCTGTTTGCTTTTTGTTGTTGTTGTTGTTATTGGTTTTTCATCTTTTTGGGGGTCTTTTTGAGACAGGGTGTTGCTATGTAGCCCAGGCTGGCCTTGAGCTCTCAGGGATCCTCCTGCCTCAGCCTCCTGAGTGCTGGGTTGACAGGTGTGCCCCCATGCCTGGCTCTATAGCATTATCTTTCAAGAACTCATTAGGATCGTATTATACTTCTACTCCACAATGTTTATTCTTTTACTCTTGGGCATGGAGGAGGGTGCGTGTGTGCGTGTGTGACTGGAGGGCAAACCTGGGAGGCCTTGACCACTGAGCTCCATTCCCAGCCCTATTGGTTTATTTAGGCACTGGGGGTGGATCCAGGGCTTTCACAGCCCCAGCCCTTGGAATTTTCTTTTTAATATCTGAGACAGGTCTCACCAAAGTGCTAAGTTGTCCAGGTTGGGCTTAGAGAGCTGAGATTCTAAGCGTGTGACACCAGGTCTGCTTATTTTCTTAATTTTGAGGCAGGGTTTCACTGCATTGCCCAGGTGGGATGTGAGCCTGGAATCCTCCTGCTTCAGCCTTCTGACTACTGGGATTATGGATATATGTACAGCACCACACCACACCTGGCTCTCTGATTTTTAGAATCACGAACACTCACTGTGAGTGATAGCATACATTTTTGATTTTTTCCCTTGCCATAAATTCCTGGAGTTGAAATTGCCGGGTTATGGGATTGGCTTAATTTTTCAGGCTTGTAGCACAAAATCCCCAACTGCCTCCAAGGAAGGGGGGATGGCGACAGAGAGGGCTGTGCCTGCCACATGCCAACCCTGGGTATTCTGCTTCCCTTTATTCTGCATTATTTGGTAGGCTTTAAAATGATTTTCATTGCAATATTAATCTCATAGTGTTTCCACTTAGAATTAGTGACCCTGCCAGGTGCGGTGGTGCAGCCCTGTGATCACAGCATTTGGGAGGCCGAGGCAGGAGGAAGGCCGTGAGTTCAAGGCTGGCCTGGGCTGCATATCAAGACCTTGTCTTGCTTTTTTTTTTTTTTTTTTGGTACTGGGGATCGAACTCGGGACCTTGTGCTTGTGAGGCAGGCACCGGAACCACTGAGCTAAATCCCCGGCCCTCAAGACCTTGTCTCAAAAAAATGAGCGACACATCGCAGCACAGAGGTACAGAGGACTCCTGCGGTCCTTCCCCTCGGGTGTTGGCTGGGACTCTGTGAACCGGCCAAGGAGGACGCTGGGAACAGTGGTGAGGTTCGGAGCAGCCCTGCCCGCGGGTGGTGGAGTCCGGCAGGGACCCTGACTCCCACTCACCATGAGGGACGGGACGCAGTATCGGGGGCTGGAACTCGTGTCCCGTCTCTGACGCACGCCATGGCCCCTAAGCGCTCCTGTGAGCCCTGGGACAGTGGCCCCAACCGCAGCTCGACCCCCTGAGCCCCTGGAGCGCCTCGGAGCACCAGGACGGTGGGTGGGGAGGACTCCTGCCCAGGGATGGGGAGCAGCCCCGCGGGGAGTCACCCTGCTCCACTGCAGGGCTTGGAGCAGGCGAGGCGGGGCCCCCACGGGCCACGGGCCTCAGCCGGTTGGGCGCTGACCCCGGCTCAGAAGCAGCTCCTCACTGGCTCCAGAGAGTCTGGATCCTGGCGGCCAGTCCACCCCTACTGCGTCTGTCGGGGAGGCCGGAGCGAGGAAGGAAGGGCAGTGGCCAAGCCCCTTGAATGGCGCTGAAGGGCAATTTAAAAAGAAGAGAGAAACAAGCCTCCCAGGCCTAAGCAGCTCCCTCAGACGTCCCCCTCCCTGTGGCCGTTTTAACCTTGTTCCTGTAAGGCAGGCTTCTGCAAGATCTCCTTTTTATCACGGAGATATGCTCAGAGGCAAAACTGTCTACTTGAGGAGCTGCCTTTGTCCTGCTTCTGTAAGCCGCTTGCCTACCCACCAGTTTCACACCCTAGGAAGACCGAGCCCTCGATGGTGTGAAAACACAGCCTCTTCTCTGCCGGGGCTCAGCCTTCGGACACAAATGGCTGGGCCCATGCTTAAGTGAATGGCGTTTCACCCGTTGGTCTCTCCGATCTCTTAAACTCCCCAACACTGCCACACGGGGCAGCTGGACTTCTCCGAGGTACAAAGTTCATTCACGCTGAGCAGGGTGGCACCCAGTTGTCATCCCAGCAGTCTGGGAGGCTGAAGTAGGAGGATCGCAGGTCAGAGACCAGCCCGGGCAATTTAATGACCTAGTGAGGCCCTGTGTCAAAACAGAACGTGAAAAAAGGCCGGGGATGCAGCTCAGTGCCGAGGCCCTGGGTTCGATCACTAGGACCGAAAACACACAGAGGGACAGGGACAGGGAGACAGGGCACCCATCGTCCCCAGTGCTGGTCAAATCAGTGCCCCATGTCTCTGCTTCTTGGAAAGAGACTGGGTCTGGGTGACTGGAACTGGAGCAGCCCACGCCCACTGACTCAGTCAGTAATCCCGTTTCTGAGAATCATTTGAATAATTAAGAAAGACAGAGCTGCAGGAATGGAAGCACGCACCGAAGCATGGCTTATAAAATCAGGCACCAAAGCCAAGCTGGACCCAGCCCCGGGTGACCCTGAGGCCGGCGCAGGTCCCCCTGGGGACAGGATGTGGACCTCGCAGAGGCCCTTCCCCGGGACGGCACACGACTGGGACAGGTTCTGGGCCCAGCAGTGACCTCACACGGGGGTGGGCTGCTGTGAGCCCGGTGCCCGGGCCATCCTTGCGCTTCCCAAAGTCACCTTTGCCCTCCTGAACCACAGTTGCAGCCCTGCCCTCCCTGGGGCTCACAAGGCCAGCACGCCTGAGCCACACTCTGGCCCTGTCGCCCAGTCCCCGAGGGTGCAATGTAGCCCAGGCTGGCCTCGAACTCACCGTAACCCTCCTGCCTCAGCCTCCCGAGTGCTGGGATAATAGGCGTGCACCCACGCCCAGTTTGGACATCCTGAATTTTATCTGGCAGTGCTGTCCTGAAATCACCCTGCTGCACTGTAGGGCACAGTAAGCGTTTGTTGAGCGAATGACCCATGTTCCCAGTCTGGAATGAACACTGGGGAGGGGCTCCGACCTGTTCTCAGTGCTCAGGTAATGCTGATTCGGTCTGTGGACAAACACTACAGCGTTCGAGGGAGGGCTGTGGATGATCCGCTTTATTAAGTTGCGGTGAGCTCTGCCAGATGCCCCCGCCCCCGAAGGCTGGCATCCTGGCCAGGTCTAAGACGGTCCTGTCACTGACAGACACCCAGCCCTTGGGAACAGGAGGCTGCTCTCCTCGGGCAGAGAGGACTCTCCAAAGCCTCATCCCCAGCCCCATCACCGGGAATCCGGGCTCTTAGATGCAAATGGCTGTGCTGGCATCGGCACATCAGGCCCTGACCACCGCCTGTCCCTGAGGGGTCCTGGGCTGTCCACCTGCCTCCCGCTTCCCATCTGGCCCCGCACAGGGTGATACAGTTATCTTGACTAGGCTGTCACTGTCACTGAGGGGTCGCTGGGTTCCACTGGGAAGTCCAGCTCCCAGCCTCCACCCGGAGATCCAGCCTAGGGGTCTCTGTCCCAACTGCCAAGTCCAAGGAGCAGGGACACAGCCCGGAGTCTTCCCAGCCAGCCCACCTGGGTCTGGGCTGCTTGTTTCCTCCATTCCTGCATTACCTGGGAGTCCTCAGGGCAGCTGCACAAGCTCTCTGAACATCAAGGGAAAATGCAGCTCAGAACCTGTACCTGGGGTCGTGCTTGTAATCCCAGCTGTTCAGGAGGCTGAGGCAGGAGGATTGCAAATGTACCTGGGGCCTCAGGGGCTGTCGTAAGATTTAGATGATCAGGGATGGGGACAGAAGGGCAGGAACTGCCAAGTGTGGCACAGATGTCACGTTGGGGGCCAGCACATCTAGGGTGGTGGAGGGTCTTCTCCTCTCTTTTGTGTGCTGGGGATTGAGCTCAGGGCCCAGCCATGCCCAGTGAGGGCTCCGCTGCTAAGCCACGCCTCCAGACTGGCAGGGTTGCAGCAACTCCTAGGTGAGCAGGACATCGACAACGAGGATGATTTTTCCAGCGTGGCCAAAAAGTCTTGCCCGGAGAGCTGAGTGGCACCACGGACAGGTGGGCGAGGCCGGCCCTTTATGGAGGACTGGACACAGTTGGCATCGCTAGGCCGCATCCAGGCCACAGGTGCCACTGGCACTGCCAGCCCCGGGGACCCCACTGTGTCTTCCCAGCACCCAGAGTTGGGGCCCCGCTCCCCAGCTCCCTGCCCAAAGCCTTCCGGAGGGCCCGGCTGTTTGAGGAGTCTGGCAGGTTGACTCCCGGCTGCCCAGGGCACTTGGTTCCCCCAGGTTCTCCTCTCCAGGGCCTTAGACAGAGGCCAACTTCTCAGGCTCCTGGGAACAGAGCTTTCCCAGGCCCAGTGCTGGGCCCTGGGCGAGGGCGGGCGGCCCCTCCTCAAACAAAGAGCATGTGTGAGGCCCGAGGGTGCAGTGCTCAGCCTGACTCAATGGACAGCTAGGGGCTACGCCCTAGACTTTCCCCTCTCTTCTGAGATAGATGCAGAAGTGTAAATCCCAACCTGTGGAGCTTGTGTGCTCACAACGGCACCTATGCGTGAGACTGGGAGAGGGAGGGAGGGAGAGAGCGCGAGCGAGCGCCTGTGAGTTCCGCCGAGAGCTGCAGGCCCGCACACCTCCAGAATCGACTTCCGGTGCGAGTGATCCTAAGGGGATCCCGCCCCGGCAGGCGCCCGCGGGAGCAGCGCCATCTCTGCGGTTGTTCCCCCGGCTTCACACCCAGCTAACTTCCCATCTTTAAGAAGAAAGAAAAGAAAATACACAAATAAAACAACAAACAATTTAATCATCCCGTTATTCATAGCTCTAAAAGTGGGGAGCTGGCCTGCTGGTCTCTGATTTGCCCAGCATCCCGCAGCCCGGGTCTCTCCCCTCCCCCAGCCCCGCCCCAGCCCCCCTCCAGCCCCGCCCCTCCCTGCAGGCGGAGCCAGGGCTCGAGCTCCTTCTTGCACATGCGCAGCTCACCTGCCTCGCTTTCCGCCTAGGCCTCGCCTTTCTCCGTTTAGATCTGCGCCTTCCTTCCCGTTAGGGCGTCTCCTCCAGGAAGCCTCCCTGATGCCCCTGGATGTCCCGCAGCGCAGGCCTGAGCTCTTCTCTTTGGGACAGGACGTCTCGGTCGTCCTGCTGCCGAGCACCCCGCGGCCACGTCCTCCTTCGCGCCAGGTCCCCAGCCGTGGGCCTCCCCGTGTCTGTCTCCCCCTCGCTGGCCCTGCCCCCGGAACGGTTCGCCCGCCCGCCCGGAAGGGCTTTCTTTTCCCTTGCGTTGTGAGCGCAGCTGGACCACTCCCTCTTGCAGGAGCTCCGGGACGCTGGTGGGTCCGGGACCGGGGACGGGGAGGCTCCGGGTGGCGGGGTTCCCGGCCCAGCCTCTACTCGATTGTTTCTTGAGGGCTTTTCAGGTCATCCTGGTCTGTGATCCCGGAACCGTCTCATGAAGATGACCCGATAAGCCTGCCATCCCAGCACTCGGGATGCAGAGGCAGGGGGGTCGGAAGTTCGAGCGCAGCATGGACCACTTAACAACTTAGTGAGACCCTGTGTCAAAATAAAAAATAAGAAAGGGCTGGGGATGGAGCTCAGTGCGAAGGCCCTGGGTTCACTCCCCAGTACCACAAAACGAAAACAAAAATAGTCGGACTTGTGCTTGTAGTAAAGAACACAGCCTGACTCTTGAGGGGTTGGTTTTTGAAGGCCCAGGAAGAGGGATGCAGACTTTGGCCTGTTCTTGGGTCCAAAATGTTCCCCACGCGTGGTTTTTCCAGAGTCCTCCAGGGCAGACACGCTGTCCCGGCACTGCGGTCACCCACAGCTGAGCCAGGACAAAGCGCTCCCTGGCACCCCGGCCAGCCTCACTGTGGCTTTCGGCTTCCAGGACAGAGCTCTGAGGCCACCAGGAGGCCTTGCAGTTTGCTCTCCTTTGTCCAGGACTTTTTACGATCGAGTTACAAATGGCTCCCTTACTGGTATTCTACAAAATTGTCTCTTAAAATATGGAGAAGCCAGGTATAGTCCTGTCATGCCAGGACTGGGGAGGCTGAGGCAGGAGGATCACTGAGTTCAAGGCCACCCTGGACTACATAGCGAGACCCTGTCTCAAAAAAATCGAAACAAGCAAAATACAATAAAAGAAGGGGGAAGAGAAGGCCTGTGTCAGGGAGAGAGGATCTGTTTAGAGCTGGTAGATGCGTGAAGGGATTGTTTTGTTCCCAACAGGAAGCCACCTGCATGCCACAACTCCAGGGACCATCCTTGATCTGATGTCAGAGCGAGGGTGATTTTTAAAAAGGGTGGGACCCAAGTAGGGCCTTGGTTTTTGCTCTATTTTGTTATTACTATTTGCCTCTTTTTAAAAAACTTCTTTGATGTAGGGGATGGAACCAGGGCCCCTGCTCACTAGGCGGCGCTCTTCTGCTGAGCCAACCCCAGCCTCTGTCCCCGGCTTTTAAGTCACCCCGACCCCATGCGCGCCTGAAGTGTGATTTCCCCAGATACTTTTGCACTGAGGCAGGAGGCTCTCGGAGCTCGAGGCCAGGCTGGCTACGTGGCCAGATGCTGTCTCAGAAAAAAGGAACCCAGTGTCCCAGCTTTGCTGCCCCAGGAGCCGTCAGGCTGCCCAACTTGGGATTCACACGCATCCACAGAACGTGCAAGGCGATTGTGTGTTCACCCCCCGCCCCCGCCCAGCGCATGGCTGCAGTTACAGCGCACGGCCGGCCAAGGGCCCCTCGCAGTGGAAGAGTTAACTAAGTTGTAGTGTAGAACTTCTCCAGTCACTGCCTCCCCCAAGGAGGCTGGGTCCCCGGGGCGGCGGCGTCAGCACAACAGGGGAGAAAACAGTTTTTGTTTCTGAATGTGCGTCTGTCTCGAGGCTGTGGGCAAACCACGGGTTTCCAGTGTGGAGAGCACTCGTGCTGACCTGACCGCGCGGCGCTGTGCCCGGGAGGTGACTCGGGTGTCCCCTCCCGAGAAACGCCTCAGTGGAGGGAAGGGTACCACCCGTAGTGTTCCTGCAGTCTGGCCCAGGGGCACCCAACTGTCATCCCAACACTAGGCAGGCTGAGGCAGGAGGATCGAAAGTTCAAGCCTAGCATGGGCAGTTTAGTGACTTAGCGAGACCCTGCCTCGACATTTAAAATATCTGGAGGTGGGGTGTGTGGTGGTACACGGCTGTTATCTCAGCACTCGGGAGGCTGAGGCAGGCACAGTAGTGAATTCAAGGCCAGCCTGGACTATATATCGAGAGCCTGTCTCAAAAATCAAACAACTACAACAACAAAAATCTGAGGATGCAGCTCAGTGCAAAGGCCCTGGGTTCAATCTCAGCATTGGAAAGAGAAGAAATCCCCGATGCCCAATAAAGTCACAGCAGTGCAGGCTGAGACGCAGGTACTGGTGTTTTCAAATCATCCCAGAAACGGGTTCCGAATGCAGTCAGTTTGAGAACCCCTGCACCAGGGGGCCACTGGGAAAGGGGGCGCACGGAGCCAGAGGCCACACAGAGGGCTCAGGACTCGGGATGAGCTCTGGGTGTGGATGGTCCTCCCGGGACTCTGCTGCTCGGGACATAGGGGTAGCAGGCTGGGGGAGAAGTGTTTTTAGGATGGTGGGGAATTTGATACACTTGCAGGAGGAGGCTAGGAATGAGGGGCGGGAAAGGGGAGGGAAAGGGTCGTCCTGGGGGGGTGGGTTTTTACTTTTGGAGACAGGGTCTCCCCATGTAGCCCCAGGCTGGCCTCGAACTCAGAGATCCTCCTGCCTCAGCCTCCCGAGTGCTGGGATCACCGGTGTGCTTCACACACCTGCCCGGGAGGAAGCCTGACTTTGAGCCCGAGAAGGACGAGCCCCTGAGATGGAAGGAGAGCTCAGCGAGGGTTGGCTCACTCCAGGCTGGGGCGTCCTACACAGCCCCATCCTCCTCAGGGGTGGGAGGCTGGGACAGGCCGCAGCCCCTGGCACCGCTCAGAGGCAGGGAGGGCCCTGAGTCCACTTACTCAGATTTCCCGTCCCTCTGCGGCCCGGAAACCCAGAGTGACGTGGCAGGTGGTGGCAGCTCTGCGACACCGGCCTCCTCCCAGGACCCCAGTCCAGTTGCTTCCAAAGCCCATGAGTGCAGGAGTCTCGGGACATCGGGACGGGAACCAGTCCTGAGCCAGCTCCTGGGCCACACCAGCTGGCCAGGGCAGCAGCCATGGGAGGGGACAGGTGGGGCCACAGGACAGCGACTCGGGAGCCTGGTGCCTGGGGCTGGGCCCGCTTGACCCCAGTAGCCGAGCCGGGCTTGGCTCCATCAGCGCCCTGGGCTCCATCCCTCCATCCCGGGCAACAGGGTCGGGGCCAGAGGGAACTGCAGGGCACCGAGGGTGGAAAAAGCCAGGATGGGGCTGAAGGTCCCTAAGTTTGGAGGAGGAGCAGTGGCCTGCAGATGGGAGCACTTTAAGACCTGGGTTTGTTAGGTTTTCTCTCAAATCCCTTTTGATGCCCACAGTCTGAGAAACAAACGTGAGGGGGTGGATGGTGCGTGAACCTCCTCGTTTCCAACCCGCTGAGCGCCAGCCCTGATCCGGCCCTGTTCCCCATGGAGCCCTCGAGGTCTCAGTCCTGGGAGACGGGTGGGTCAGGGGCCCCTGCACGGGCTCAGTGTGACAGTCCCTGGTGGGCTTGGGCCCCGGTATCTTATTCTGTTGTTTTCTTGAGGCAGGGTCTGCTGCGGAGCCCAGGCTGGACTGACCTCGTGGAGATCCTCCTGCCTCAGCCTCCTGAGCGTGGGGGTTCTAGGTGTGAAGCACTGTGGTCAACTTGGACCTCTGTATCTTTCAAAAATTTTTTATATGAATTTCACTGACGCCAAAATTAGAGCGTGGGCTGTAGGAGCCAGGGAAGATGAGAGTCTCTGGATCACAGAAGAGCAAAATATATGACTAGGAAGGGAAATTCTGTCTTCCCCACAGTTCCCATGTGACAAAGCTTCACCCTCCCTTTTCCCTGAGGAAAGTAAAATTCAACATCCGGGGACAAGAGACAGGGAGGACAGGGCCGGGCTGGAGAGGCCCGGGGCTCAGGGCAGACCCCGCTGGGACTCAGTCCCCTTCCGAGACCTCCCTGACGCGCGAGCCCCCTCAGAGTCAGCCACCACAGTGACCTGGGCCCGGGACCCACGGAGGCTTTGCACAGGGCGGCAGCACCAAAGCCACCACAGCTGCCTGGCGGGGCGAGCATGGGGCTGGCTCAGCCACACACGCTGGGGTTTGGGCCGAGGACTGGTGGGGGCCGTGACAGGAAAGATCTTGGAGTGCACACCTGTGACCCCAACCCTTGGGAGGCTGAGGCAGGAGAATGGCCACAAGTTCGAGGCCAGCCTGGGCTACAGAGCAAGGCCCTGTCTCAGAAAGAAAGAAAGAAAGAAAAGAAAAGAAAGCTTTTTGGGGCTGGGATATAGCTCGGTGGCAGAGCATGTGCTCAGTACATGCGCCCCCGCACACGTGTGTACACGGCTGCTTACACACCAGGCCACATGCAGGTCGCAGAGCTCCAGCTCTGCTTTTTCGCCCCTTCCCATGAGCTCAGCCCTCAGCGTGGCTGGGTTTGCTCCCTGCTGAGGAAAGCCTGGGACTCCCCAAAAAGACCTGAGGCTGGGATCAGTGGCTGCCGCGGGCCCAGGCTCAGGCTGGAGGCGGCCTGGCCTCAGAGGAGGGAAAGCCCGAAGCAGCTGGTCCCTGAGCCTGAGCCATCATTCTTAGAAACACAGGCACACAGTTTTTTAACAAGAAAATCAACATTAACTGGTTTTTTTTTTGGTACCGGTGGTCAAACTTGGGTCCTTGGCTTTCAAGGTAGGTGGTGGAACCACTGAGCTAAATCCCCAGCCCAAGTAAGTCTCTTTTTAAAAAATCTTGAGACAGTCCTTGCTCTGCAGTCCAGGCCGTCCTCAAAGTCTTGGTCCTCCTGCCTCATCCTCCGCACTGTATTCTCATCGCATGCTGAGAACACAGGCACGAGTCCCACACCCTGCTGACCTTAACTAACAACACGGCCCAGATCCAGACTCAGGGAGACGGAGAAGAGGAAAACACAGGGCTGGGATGCAGCTCGGGGGGAGCTCATGGCCCGGGTCCAACCCCTAGGACTGAAAAAAAGGAAGGATGAAATCTCCTAAGGAATACACAGGCCCCTCAGCACTCCTGCAGGAGGTGAGGCAGGGGGCTCGGTTATCTGGTCCCTGGCGGCCCTGCTTTGTTCTGGCTGGCATTCTGCAGAAGCCTTGAATGGCAGAGGGAGGAAGCAGGGCCCTGCAAGGAGCCTGAGGGAGGAGCTTGGTGCCTGAGACCCTGCAGCCTGGGGGACCCAGGGGTCTGAGGAGCGAGCCCGCTCGGTCTTCTGCCCCCCATGCCCCCCCACTGTGTTTTGGAGCCGAGCTGGGATGTATAAACGTCTCTGCCCGAGTGCCTCCGCCTGGCATGGCCTTTTTTTTTTTGGTACCGGGGATTGAACTTGGGACCTTGCGCTTGCGAGGCAGGCACTGGAACCACGGAGCTAAATCCCCGGGCCTGGCATGGCCTTTAGACCCTTCCATTTCTTTCTGGGTGTTTCTGAGCCCTCTCCACTCTTTACAGAGCACGCCACAGT